TGTGTGTTTACTTTTGGAATAAAATTAAATTTATGGAATTTCAATTTTTTTTTAGGTCAAATTGTTCAAAAAATTAAATTATGATGTTATTTAAAAAGATTAAATGAAGAAAAGTTTTCCATTAAAAAAAAAAATTAGACTTAAACTATTCTTAAACAATTTAATAAAGTTGCGGACTTAAAATTTGAGTCTAGAGGGTTGGGAGAAAAAATCATTTGAGTCCGGGCAAAATCCAAATAGTCACTTTTTGGAGGGGGAAAATTTGGGTTTAGCCCTGGGTTGGAGAAGGCCTAAGGGCTTCCATAAGCCATGAGTCACATTTAGCAGTATGTCATGACTACCCAAGCAAAGTAGAATAGAAAAAATCTATTCAATTGGAATTACAATGTAATACAGTCATTCTCTATTTCAATACTCCCAATCACATTATTATGGTATGGATAATTCATGTCAAGCCCATGTTGTGATTCACTCACTTTCATATGATTTATATTAGCATATTAAAACTTCTTTTTTAAGTCATGCTTGACAATTTCATCAGAGTTTTCTTTAATCATATCTTAGAGCATTCTCTCTCTTTATTGGGGATATAGATTCCTTATTTTACACTAACATGCCTCTATGAATCAATTGAGAGGGTCCCAAGAATACATGAGGCATATATGTGGCCAATACATGTTTATATATATTGTACTATCAAAAAGACTAAGGACTACTTTGCAATTTTGCAACCCAAAGTTTCTTGTTTGACATGTAAGTGAAACTTTCATACAAGAACTCTTGATTGATTGTGTTTAGTGAAATCACTATCCACTGAGCACCTACATACTTGTCTTAGCGTCTCTACACTAATGAGTTGAGACCAATCATCCTCCCAATAGAGCAGACATTGTATGTACCGGTTTTTGTTGGTTATCAATGACTAGTTGATAATTCTATGACTAGAAAGTGTTTAGGATATGAGGGTTATAAGAGGAAGGTCTCCTAAATATTGTTTAGAATGTTTTCTCTTTATTTCATATATCTTGGACTATTGTTTAAGCATTGTTAGGCCAAAATTGGACAAGTAATTTGTATGAACCTTCACCCAACATAATCTCACTCTTGTCGATGACATAAATGAATTTTTATTATTTTAGCTACAATCTCTTGTTAAAAGAGAACATCCTTTGATTCTAACATGAATAAAATGTAATTGGGGGTTTTGTGTGTTTGTTTAAGTTTGCAACTGCACCTAGGTTTGACCCCAAATTGCCTACGTATCCCTTTTGAGGGATCAAGCCACTCATAGTTCTTTGGAGAATTTAATTGGACTTTTGAGAAGTGAATGACCCCCTTGAAAGAATTTGTTGTGATATGAGTTGAGTATGGAATTTGGATGAATCTGGGTTTGTGGTTGCATATGGATTGAGTCTCTACGTGTTCTTGGCTGAATCAGATCAGACATAGTTCAAACGTTAGGAATTTATTTGGAGTGAATTTGTTTGTTTCGCATTATTTAGAGATTTCAGACTTGGAAATCAACGAAGGTTTTAGTGTCAAAAAGAAAACAAGAAGTGGTGTACTTTTATATCAATTATTTCTTAACTGACATATTGGAATTTTGGACTGACTAATTTTAATTTATAAAACTTTCTTTTCCCTGATCAAGTCTCCCTAATATACATATTGTTGGTAAAAAAAATAAAGATAATTGCTATATTTATAGATGATAGAGTCTAAAACTTGATTCTATCTTCTTAAGACGAAATTACCTCCTCATAGGTGCTTTTAGGATTTGCTTGGCAAATGTCTCCTAGGATAAAACGATCGACTTCTTGTTGAAGTAGCACTACAATCCCCAAGAAAAGCGAACTCAAACTTGTGTATGAACTCTCTCTTACTAACTCACTATATTTATGAAAATACAATGTTATGAATGCTCTAAAAACTACTATTGTCGGATGACAATTGGATGAATGAAATGTTGTAGGACATTCTCTATTTATAGGCAACAAGGCCTCTGCTCAGAAAAGATGTAATTGAAAAATATCAACAAAGTTACAACCATAAGCTAAGAAGTGCAATATTTCAATTACTATGAAACAATGCAACTTTTCACATAAAGTATTATTATTTCATTCACAAAAAAAAATAAATAATATTTTATTTTTCCTATGTTAAGAACATGACTATTCCCAATTGATACATACCAATTCGTAAAAGTCATGTACTTAAAGTCACGGGCCCACAATTTAATTTCCATTCAATTATTAAAAAAATTAAATATAAATATTGTAATTTTCTAACACAAGTCTCCCCTACTCGTTCTCGCTTATGTTGCGTCCTCTCTGCTCTTGACAGAACCTTCTTTTGATCTTTCTTTGTTTTTGCGGGCTTTTCTCTTTGCTTCTCCTTGGATTCAAACAACCCTTCTGTTCTTCACCTTTTGTTTTTCTGAAAATTAGGCAGCCCTTGGGTTCTTCTCCTTTTGCTTTTGCCTCCACCCTTTTAAGCCTTTGGTTCATACCTTTTTATAGGCAAAAAGGTGAGTAGCAATTGACGGAGCATGTTCCTTTACTGAGTGTGCCGCTGTTTTTATGAATGGAGTAGTAGGAGATAACTTGTTAATTCTCATCCCACCATTTTTCCTTCTTTTTTTCTTTGTTTTCCTTTTGAAAGTGGGCTAAAGTGGGACATTTGACTCTAAACTTGCTGCCGTGAGGCACATCACTCTTTTTTTTCTTTTAGTTTTTAAATATTATTTACAAATTTTCTTTGTAAAAAATATAGTGCAACAAGCACAAAATGAGACAATTGCTATTAAACAATAAATCGGATTGAAGGAAAAAAAATATAGTTGCAAAGTTCTTGTTTCTTCTACCAACCCATCCACAAAATTTGTAAAATAAATACATAATCATCCAATGGTCCAAAACATTCAAAACTAAACACCTAAAAATTAGAAAAAGAAAAAAAACCATGTAATCCTTTTGATATTTATTTATACATTTGTTGAGGCCCAAAAAATCCAAGGTCAGGCCCAAGTAAATTTCTTGCCCAGTGCAATACTTATTTAAGAAGAGACCCGAATTGGAGCACGCAAAAGTTTGTCATACACGCTCGCACGAGCCACGATCCACGTGTCATGCCAAATAAATATGCAATCCATCACGCTAAGAATTGAAATGAGCCTATAAAATGTAGTGGCTCTATGAGCCCAAGCTAATTATCCCATCAAGCATTATATCCCTTTTCAAAACGATAAAATTCAAGCACGCCAATCGACATACAATGCCAAGCAAAAAACCCTCATTTTGCACCTAGGCACGCTATAAGCTTAAGTGGGCCCAAGCCACGCAAATGCTTGGGGCTTCCTGAGTGGGTTGTGGTATGGATCGTAATGAGCATTCATGAGGCCCATTGATGAGCCAAGAAAAAGAAGTTTTGGGCTGCTTAGGAGCCCCAAAACTTGAGCAAATTTCTTGAGCTCAAATGTGTGGGTAAGCATAAAAGAGAGAAAAAGATAACCTATTACTTTAGAAAGTTGGCCCATCACCTTAATAAAATTAGTCCATCACTTTAGGAAGTTGGCCTATTCCCTTAGTAGACTAACCCATCACCCTAGGATGGCCCAAATAACCAAGAAAATATCTGAAAGTCTTCAGCACATAGCTAGAGACAAAATCCACGACAAAGGCCAAGGGTTGCCCATGTATGTAAACTGCTGGGAGACTTCAGCACGTGGTCAAAGGCAAACCTCAAGGCAGACCATTCAAAAAACCAAAGGGTATTAGTGCGCACAGGTTGCTAGGAGAAAAAACACCCTTCAAACCAATGCCCGAACCCATTTATTTCTCCTACTAACTCTTGCCATGAAATAGGGGAGGAAAGAATGAGAGGTGGTAGCCAAAGATAAGAGATGGCCACTGGAACAGTTGCAGGAAGGCTGTAGAGCTCCTAAAAATCTTTCTATATGTGTTTGGACTGAGAAGGATTTCTAAAAAATGAGGATGAATCGAAGGAAGAGAAGACTTGGCAGATTAGGGAGAAACCAGCTAGGGTCTTGGGAAGAAGGAGCTTCCCACGCCTATAAAAAGGAGCATCTCCTACCCATCAACACACCCATATCCAGATAGAGTAAGCATCACTTCTTATCCCTGGAACCCTTCAATTTTGAGCCCTATTTCCTCCATATCTTCCCATCTTCTCTTCTGGCAATCCATTCCAGAGCTTGACGAAGCTTTCGTCAAACTGCCGGAAAATTGCTCAAACCACCCACTACTCCTCCCTCATATCTCTCTCTCTCTCTCTCTCTCTCTCTCTCTCTCTCTCTCTCTCTCTCTCTCCTCAACAAATTCTCTCAAAATTCCTTATCCCTTTACTTTGAACCCCTATTTCTACAGGAAATCCACTCTCTCTCTCTCTCTCTCTCTCTCTCTCTCTCTCTCTCTCTCTCTCTCTCTCTCTCTCTCTCTTTATGCTAAACTCATGAATGCTTAGCTTCCATGCCATAAGCTTCTCAAGCCAAGCCATATATTTATTTGTAAGCAACTGTTGGTTTTGTTCGTGAAGGAGACCAATGTGTTTCCTAAGGCTCCACAATCCTTTTAAAGAACTCTTGGGGTTTGATTCTTGAACTCAGACACAGGGGCCAATTCACCCATTTGCTATTTACAGCAGTCTAGGCCCATTAGTAGCTAACGGAATAAAAAAGCTCCTACAACATTCAATTGTAAACACTTATCTTTTAAAAATTTCATCTTATTGAATGAAATCATATTTTTTCCAATTCAAAATATTTTACATGCACTTGTTTGGAAAATAATAATAATAATATAAACCTAACATGCAAAAAGTATTTTAAAATGTTTACCAGTAAAAAAATTAACACAAAAACTAATTAATACCCAAAAAAAAAAAAGAATTTGCATATTAGAATTTACAT